GAGGTGGGCTCAGACCTTGCATGTACTTGTTGAACTGAATTTTGGAGTATCATGAGCCCTGGGACTGAGTGGAATGTGCATGTACTCATGTAACGTGTAAATGGGCAACAACTTTTGGATTACTGGCAAACAGCTCCTTTTAACTGACTGTAGGGCTGTGGATGTCTCCAAACAATCCCCTTATCTGAAGGAGGAGCTCTGAAATCAAGCAAAATGGCTAGACTTGGTCTGCTGATGCCTGCCAAGTGCCTCAATAGCTACATGTTGTCTAGCAAAAATGTGACTTCAAATGGCAGCTCCAAAGGTGCTACAGAAAGCTTATGCTTCAGTAGATTATGTCTGATTGATGTTGGTGGTTTCAGTTTTCTGTGCCAGAGCTTGCCGGGTGCCCTCCAGAAGGGAGATGAACAGAAGGACACAGCAATCTTCAGTAGGAAAAGAACTCTATTTCTATCATGATCCATCTCTTGCTCCTTTACAGTAATATATTGTATTCTCTCCAGTGCAGCTGTTCTGAACAAGTTCACAAGTGACTGAGAAGTAGGAAGTACCAGGTCCCAGTGGAGAGCTGAGGAGCATCAGCCTAGCCTCTGCGCAGAAGTCCCACCAGAAGCAGGGTCATCTGGAGGGAGTGCGACAGTTCCCAGTTAGCTCAGTCCATAAGCAAGGCGGTATAAGTGCTGAAAGTCAGGTGAGGCATGAGGAGGCTCTGCACTTACGTGCAGCACATTAGCCACCCATTTAACAAAATCTGTGAAGGCTCAACAGAAAGCTATTCTTACCAACAACTGTAAAATCACACAGGGCACATTTGACACATGTAGGCCAACAGTATGGAGACAAGGAACTGTAAAGAAGACCACTCCTTTTGGCTGACCAACCTTTGACAAACACCTGTGGAGGAGGCAAAATATGTGCATTCCCTGGTGTGTGCTTCTTCGTCTTGATGAAAGACAAGTGACAGAGCTACTCCACCCAATGTAGCAGGAGGCAAAAGACATAAATGGTGGATGGCAATGAACAAATCACTTGCCTTAAACACTGAAGGAGGGGTTAATCCCCACCATAATGCCCAATTCATGGTTCAGAAACACAATTCTTCTGGGGAAAATAATCTGAGTTAAATAAAGAAGTGAACCAAGAATGTCTGAAGTTTCACAAATGCAATCTTGAGAGGATGGATCTGCCTGACAGACTGTACTACCATTTCCTGCCTCTCTCATTGGGTTTTGGGCATCAGTTAGCAGATCATACATTTCTTGGGAGATATTTCTCCCCCAGACACCAACAATGTGTCCTGTGGCATAGATAAAGAAATATCTCCCTTGAGAAGTACCTAGTTTGAAACTCAGTTAACCAGAGAGAAGCTTATGATGGAGAAAAGACATGAACGATGAAAGAGGAAATGGAGGTCAAAACGAATGCTGTTTTTCCTTTGCTTTTTCTTGCAAGAGAAATCCAGGAAAAAACAGGCTGCTGTGCATAACATAAGTTGGGGAAAGAAAGCAAAGGTGAGCTCCTGGCATTTTTGCACTCTATGCATGATGTATGCAGGAGGCAGGATATAGCTGTAGGTATGTCCCTTGTATCTGAGCTAAATAGCTCCTGTTCAAGCGCATGGGCCCACATCCTTAATGTGAACATGGGCAAAAAGAAGGCAAAAAGACATCTTGCAACAAATTTTTATAGAGCACTTGCTTTCATTTCATAATGAACTAACGCAAACTAGCAACATGGCGGGGAGGCAGGACAAATGCTATGGGCTCACCAGCCCATTCTGATCAAATCCTCTGCTGCTTCCATAGTAATGTACACAGAGGAGGAAGGAATATGGCTTGAACAACCAGCCATACCATTTACTGCTCACTTCATTTCAAGCCCACTACTGCTGCAGCCTCTCCTAGGTGCTAACAGCAGGAATGAAGTCAGATATGACATTTCTAGAAAAAGGAAGTGAAGTATCTCAATTCTTTTCCATTGAGATTTCCTTCACACCCCTGGTTAAGCCACTAAGAAGCAGTAATCAACCAAGTGAAGGGATGGGGAGAAAACATAATACCTTCTTCTTTTCTTTTTTTTTTTTTCCCCCTTTAAGAAAGTGAATAATATGTCTTTGAATAGTCAGAAGTACCATTTTTTTCCTGATGGACAATCTCTAGGAGAAAAGCTGAATATGATGATTGATTGCCTCAAGCATTTTTATACTACCTGTCACTGACCAATGGATGGGATATATTCCCTGTATGAGATAAGGCCTGCTGAGAAGTTACTGGATAAGCTTCTATGGACTATGCTCTATGAATTACTTTATGAGTACAATAGTCCTTCTCGACCTCCTAAAATGCATTGGTAAACTCATCATTCACCTCCACTGAAAGGTGCACGTACCATTTCCATTATCTAGTTCAGAGGAATCTTTGGAGAGCTAATTATCTTACTAAATGAAGAGAACTTTAACTCCCCACCCCAAACACACAAACACACACACAAAACCACAAACACAAATACACACACACACATACACACACAAGACGGAGCTAAAAGCAGGTGGCCACTCTGGCTTGTCATTTGTCCAAAAATTACAGCAGGTTTTTGTGAGAGGTGGTCCTACTATACCTAACATACCTCCCTCCATGCTCTCATACTCTAGATAATACAGGGAGACAGACAGGACGGTGCTTTTAGGACACAGAAGATGGGGGAATCTGGCAACTTGCATCTGCTTTAGTCATGCTTTGAGAACTTTCAGATTTTCTGTAATTGTTTGCATGGGGAGGTCTTTGGATTTCAAAGCACTGTGTATTAAATAAGTACAAACTTTAAGGACAAACTTAAATTATACTAACAGAACTCAAGAGGTTTGACTGCTATCTTTCTGCTTAATTTATCCCCTTCCATACAAATCATCTTATTTACTCTTTGTCTCTCCTGCTCTCAATTTTAAAAGCATGGCTTCAATTCCCTTCTAAACTGAAAATATACTCTTTTGTATAAGATCACAAAGTACTTCAAAAAAGTCAGTTGCTTTTTTTTTATGACCCTTTCTGCAACTGCATGTAATTGTTGTTTAATGCACTAGAATACTGTGGGCGTGGCAGCTGAGAAGCAAGAAAAGATTAGGTAGTAAGGAGAAAAACACCAGTTAACAATGTGTACTATGTTTCAGAAATGCTCTTGCACTTGCTTCTCATTTGTCCTCAGCTAAGAAACAGAAGAGAGCTTTACCATTATTACTGTTATTATTGTTGTTGCTATTATTTATTACTGCTTTTGGCAAAAAGAAGCCTCACTTCATCAGGGAATGATCAAGTGACCGGACTCCCCCAGCCTGGGCAGGGTTAGCTTTGCTTTCAATGTCTTCAATCATCATTAGCTCTGAACACTGTCATGTCACATTTGTGCAAAGCAAGCCTCACGAGCACCTGTTGCAAGGGAACAGCTTGAAGAAGCTGGACTCTAAAATCAAACTGTTTATTTTGCACTGCCTCAGCATCGCTCGTCTTTCTTTTCAGAAGGCAAATTCAGAGTGGCATCGTCCTCATGCCAAAACCGCAACCGAAAACTGCCTGGCGTAGGCCGAGACCAGCTGGCCGAAAGATGTTATCAGCTCCATTGGAGAATGCTCAGTCATAAAGATTTTGCTGCTCAGTCGCTGACAGCCTGAGAACACTGAACAGCAGCGTTTCTCAAACTGGGACCAGCTTCCTGGGAGAGGCTGGAGTCCTGCTAGAAGCACTAAACAACAAACCAGAGGCAGTCAAACACAGCTGGCCTAGGCTTGCTCTGGTTAAGGCCTGACAAGACTACAGGTCTTGTGCTAAATACCGTGTCATGTACCTCTTTTTTGCTGATCTTAAGGAAGAATGAAGATATCCTCAGGCTTAGACACAAAATGCGCATGCGTAACTCAATCCAGAGTAAAGCAATTTTGGTAGTCTTCAATGAGAACTGCTCACCCCGTCTCTGTACGGGCCCCTGACCAACTTCCCAGCAGTCAGTTTTATCCTTTATGGTTTCATCTGTGAATAAGAGCAAAACAAGATGTGCCCCCTCCCCCTTATTTTTAATACTGTATCTCTTCCAACCAGTTCTGCTACAGTTTACAGGAGCAATGAAGATGCATAGGAAAGACATGTTGTCCTGAACCCAAGCTTAGCATGTAAGCACCTGTGTCACCAGCTGGTACAGGAAGATGCTTCTCATTATTTTTGTAAAATACTGTTATTTGTAATTCACTTTTAATTCCAACACAAACCATGACTTGTACTTTTTTTCCCAAATTAAAATAGGGGAGGAGAAAGATTATTAACAGTGTAAAGATAGTGATCTCGGCTTTTTTTTGTTTCTTCTTTTCCGGAGGAAAAAAACCCCAAACCTGGCAAACTTCATGCAGCCACTAAACCATCTATAGTTGGCAAAAACTGAATTTTAAATGATAAGGGAGAAACAATTGTCCAATTCACTGCTGAGTCTGGTACACAGGCAAGAGAAGGCCAAAAGGTCACACACAAATGGCTAAACATGCCAGACACTGAACAAGAACAATTCCTTCTTATGGGCTTGACATGAAAACTAGGTTTCTAAGGCTCCTCCATTTGTCACCTCTCTCTCAAAAGCAAGAAAAAAAATTATTCTTGACCTATATTTAATATGCTGAATACCCATGCTTGTCTTGCATTCCGCAGAAACTGTTACTTCTCTTCCATCCTCTCCAAGCTGGCTGGTGTACTAGGAATTCGCTGCACACTGTTCCCCAGATCTTCACTCACATTTACAGTGAAGTAAACCCATCGATCCCATTCTTCTTCTTGTTTTGATTTGGTTCAAAATAAGGGTTTTCTTACTCCTGCCCTTTCCCTGAGCTTCTGCCCTCATCTTGCCAAGCCCAAAACTCACAGCTTGCTTTGGCGGAGCTGCAAAGTCTTTGTGATGCCTACATAAAAACAAACATCATTTGCTCATTAATGCTAAGCTTTTGGGGACGTGCCCCATGTACTGACCTCCACCAATGGCCTGGGTTTGCGCTCCACTGCAAACCTGAAGTGGCAGAGTTCGCAGTAGCTGGTGTTTGAAGATGACAGCCAGTGCTCCAGGCAGCTGCGGTGAATAGTCCCCAGGGTCCCTGTACATTCACAGGGGGAAAGCAGGTCTTCCTGGCTGCTGCCCTCGTGGCAGATCCTGCATATCGGCCGGTCATTGAAGGGGCTGCCGGAGGAGGAGAGAAAATCGCTGGTCAGGATACAGGGCTGTGATCTAGCCTCTCTGTCTCTCTGTATGTCACAAATTAACAATGTGGGAAACATTTGCAGCTTGCGTACTTTGCTCTGTAGCTAGTACAAGCTAGTACCAAGCTGCTGGGCTAATGGCTGCAGGCACTTTGGTATTCTTGTTTTAAAATACCTCTTCTATAGGGGGAAAAAAGTGGAGAATGAAAAACACATCAGAGTGGCAGATGAGAGACAAACAACCAAGTGCTTCTGGACCTTTGTATTTCCCGCTTCTTCGCAGTGCAGTGGAGCAGCCACTTCAAGAAATCTCTAAATGCATCAGGGAAGTTTTAAACCTGCCTCAGCTGGGCACCTCTTATACTTTTGACCTACAGGGTAGCATCTCTTACACTAGTGATGACGCCCTGGCCTACAGGGTAACCTGTTTTCAGTGATCAACAGCAAAGGACTACTGGACCTGAAACAACAGCACCTTGCCCTGTAGTTGTGTGAAGAGGCAGGTGTGTGCAGGCTGGAAGCTCCGTCCCTGGGGAGGATTCCCCTCTCTTTGGGACAACTCCCCACGAGCAGCTGGAGGAGTGATATTAATGGCACTGAAAGGAAGGACTCTGCCAAACACATCCCTCCCATATTGCTGCCTGTGGTTATTTCTCCTGCAGTGCCTTCTCCAAAGCACCCGCCTTGCTGGTGCCGGGGTGCTAATGTGCAAAGGGGGACAGGTGCTCCTCCCACCAGTGAAAACCTGAAGGCTCTGGTATTAACCATCAAGATTTTCTGTTTTACAGAGGAATCTCTCGGGGAAGAGAAAGGCAGTTGTGTGGCTTCCGGGGGTGCTCAGGCTTAGCGCAGCAGGAGGAAAGCAGAAGCAGGCTGCAAGCACCTGTGCTGCTGAACCACGGATCCACTTGACTGCATCTTCAACTCAGCCCCCCCAAATGCCAAGGCTGAGAAGGTCAATCTCTTAGCTGAGGTCTCGGAAACAAAAACTCTCCCTATCATAGGTGCCACCTCAGGTGATATCCTCAGAAAAACAAGTTTTGAGACTGCCACTGACAAAAGCTTGTTAGCAGATAGTGTACAGTGGCACATAGCTGTTCCCTCTGTCCCTTTTCTGGCTCTTTGCAGGCTGCCCCGGGTAAACCTCCCTCAAGTTTAACAGCAGGAAAGTGTAAAGAAGCCAGCCTGCTCCTTTCAATCTGTCTGGTAAAACAGTATGAAGTTGTGCTTGATGCTCTACACACACATCTGAGCTGTGCAAAATGCACAAGGTTTAAAAAAGTTGCTATGAGTAAAGGGGGAAAGGCCCTTTCAGGCTTACACATCGCACATACAGCAGCAGTTAATAATTTCACTCTTCACATGAATGCAGTGGATTGGATTACATTTGCTGTTCTGTGAAAATCCAGGGCAACTTCAAGACCCATGCAGTCTTTCCAGCTTCACACTAGTGAAGTGGAACTTAATTTTGACCAAGTACCAAGTCTGGATGTGGCCAAACCCTTAAGCATCCTCTTTCTTGCTTCTAATGAAAACAAAGCCAACCAAAAGCTGGGTAGTGTTTCAAAGGGTATAGTTTAAATACATATTTCACCACTAATCTGCCATTCTAAACCAACAGCAGAAAGAGGCACTCTCAATCACTTGAATGACTGAAGCAGCAACACTTGTGTGTGCACCTCTGCTAGAAATAGCTTGTCTGGCCGCTCGGCGCGCTGGCTTGGGAAGCGTGAAGGAAACATGCTGCAGAAGTGCTGGTGGCAGCACGCAGACTAAACATGGCATCCTGTGCCAGACAGCGCCTGCCAAAGCCTCCCTCTACGTATCAGGGCAAATTATTGCAGCTGGCGCACTCGAGCAGCAGCAGCATCCCTAGACAGCTCACTTCCCCCTTCTTCACCGAGTATAAATGGTGAGGGCTTAATTACATGTGTAGCATAATCATTATAAAGTTAGGACGAGGGCTTAATTACAAGTGCACTGTGGTAAACCTTCACAAAGCACACCACCACATCTTCCCTTCAAGCGCCCGCAGGGCTTGCGGGTGGCAGCTGGGGAGGGTGCACTCGAGCCCACGCAAGGAAGGGTCCCATCCCGTCCTGTCCCATCCCGCCACCCCCCACGTACCTCTGTGTGGCGAGCGTCCGCACGACGGAGGAGAGCAGCTGCCCATCTTTGGCTGACACCTGCATGACATACTGCGAGCAGCTGCCGGCTGGGCCACCGCTGCCGCTGCCACCGGGCAGGGTCTTGCTGCTGGGTGCCGGCGGGCGCTCCGGCAGGACTCCCGGCAGGTGACTGCAGTGGCTGGTCCTCATGGTGGTGGGCGGCGGGTCCCCATCTAGGGAGGAGGGAGGACAGGGCGGTGGGACGGGGGGAAGGGGCACGTCCCTCCCTGCCTGCAAGTCTGCCTCACGGATCAGTACCAGGCATGAGAAAAAAACATCCCCCGCTCCCTGCCCCAGCCCTCCAAAACATACTCAGCAGGGAGAGGAAGCTTATAACGTTATGTGTCACAGAAAAACAGTCTGTACGTCTCAGAAACAGCAAGCCGGGGCTCTGCGCTGTTTTTTTTCCTCTGCAGACTCCTAAAGTCACGAGTGATAAAAGGAGAGACTGAACCTTTTTGTCTCTCCCCCCACAAATGCTGCAAAGGAATATACAATCTTTACCTTGTGAGCTTTTAAACTTAAAGTCCTGCCTCTGCCCACCAATGGGGAAAGTTATGTATTGGAGGAGAAAGTGGCTGATCAGCTCCAAATGCCCTGGGAAAACACTCCACTGCTGCTAAGTGCCTTCCATCACCAACCCACGGCAGAGCATGGACCTGGCAAATAATCCTGTACAGGGGTTTTGTCAGACAGACCTGCTTAATAACTGCCTGAGTGCAGCAATAATTTATGCAACAAGGTGAGGCAGAAATCATAGCGTGCCTGTGTCTGTCTTCTCTGCTTTGCTTTTTCACCCATCACTTAGAATGTATTTTGTGTGATGTTTTCATGTGTGGTAATTGGAAAGCAAGGGTTATGCTGGTAACAAAGAGCCTGGGAACGGAAATTCGTGATACCTTCGTATGATGCTCCTTGCTGGGTGTGCTTATCGGTGAGCAAAAGCTGCGTGGTTCAACAGGCAGAACACCAGGCTGTGCGCCTGCAGGTTTGCTCTTCAGGTCGGTCACCGACCGCATATGTATGGGGTGGGTTAATCCCTCTGCAAAAGGGGGGAAAGACTTCCTAGCATGCCTTGAGACACTTGGCTACAGTCACTGATTCAAAGAAAGTAGGTATTCTTTATTGGCAGTGCTGGATGCACGGGGGATCACTCCACCTATCGTGCACACCGTTGGGTCTAATTGTGCAGGTAAGTACATGTTCTACATACATATTCACTAGATTTCCAAGAAATGTTGTACATATGAATTAGTTTTCCGGGAAACTATTAGCATATGCAAATGTCCTTTATGCAGGTGCATTGAAGGTCTCTGGTGGTCTTCAGGAGTCCTCTGGTGGTCTTCCATAGTCTTCCTCACTTGTCCACTGTTTGACCCTCCTCAGGTGATTCTGCGCAGTATGGTCTTTTACTCGTTTTGATACATCAGTGTTTGTTAGTGCTCTTATTATCTAAGTTTTCATTAGTGGTGTAGAACCATATGGTTAGTTTAAGTTAATTATCTACAAGGACGAGAACAAATGCAGGAGTTCTTCTCTTTTCTGGCCCTATCTATTCAAGCAAGGCCTCTACTTGTGCCTTCTCGACAAGATTGTAAATTCATCAAACATTTAATTAAGTTTTGTGATTGTTCATGGTTCCTTCTTGCTCATCATTCCCAAGTACCAGTCTCTGACAGGCTTAATCTTTGACAAACACTAGTCTTTGGTATGTAAAGTTACAGAGAGACAATCATTAAGCAATTAGCAGTTCGTTCTCTATATCATCACATGTAAATGTTATGGGTTACTACTATGATATTCACATGTTGAAATTGGGCATGTTTGTCTGCACTGCATTCAATCCTCAAAAAAAACGTTGTGCATCAGACACCACTGTTACTTGTGTAGTATCAGCACCGCAGCAGGAAACACAGTCTTTAAAAATTAAACATTAACCCACTCTTTTAAAAAGAGGTATTTCTCTGGGTTTTAAAAGAAATCTTGTAATTTGATCTCATTGGATTTGAGCAAATGGCAGTGCTAACTTTCCGATGTCTCCTGAATGTTGTCTTTGGCAGTAAGACTTTGCAGCACACAAGGATGTGATGGGGGTGCTCGACCACTTGTACCATGCAAGTTTTCACGTAGGGACTTACATTCTTAGAAAGGCATCTAAAATAGGAAAATGCTTGGCAAAGTGTTTGTTTTACAGGATTATTTCAGCTATTTTCAGACCATGTATATCCAAGAGAGTGAACTGGAGGCTGATAAGACAGCTTACAGGGGCTATAGTGTTCAGAGAATGGGGAAGGAAATCAGACTCTGGACCCCATTTACAATGAAAATTAAGAAAATGGCTGATTTCAAAACCATTAACACATAAAAGATGCAGATTTTTTAAGAGAATAAGAGCCACAGACTCTCCAAGGAGATCATGGTATCAGCAACTTCATATTTTTAAAATCCATGATGAGACTGTTTAACAAGAATATTCAGCAGCTGAATGCCTGCTTCATTCAACTTAAAAAGCCTAGGTAGTACCATGTTTACAGACCCATGCTACAGAATTATATATCTTTTTTCTTGTTGCTTCACTGACCTCATTAAGTACAATGGCGGGTTTATTGTTGCGTATAAAGTGACCATCCAAGCCTTTACAAACACATCCATCAGCCACTTGATGAGTTCAGAGCATTTGCTGAAGCATCAGATGATGGAACTAAATTCAAAGCTTAAAAGCACACCAGAAATAATGTAGCTATATCCCAGCAATGATGTTAATTCAAATTTCTGCATGCAGTACTGCATTGACGTTCCGCTTTGGCATAGCAAATACATGTAACCCTTTTCTACCTAACTCTTTTTTTTTAAAGAAAGTTGGAAGTTACAACATATTTTCCTGATTTCAGAAGAATAATTTTCACACAAAATCAGTTTATGTGCATGAAAGTAATACCACTATAGAACTAAATAATATGTGCTTTAATCCTGAGCCCTGTGGTAAATAATGAAGATTAACTGTCCTAAGAAGCACAGAGATCCTAAGCAAATCTGAAGTCAAAGCTGACGTTAAGGAATTGTAAATCTTAACATCCACAAAGCCCCAAAGTCACTATTTACCCATACGTATGTATTATGTTCTGTCAGAATGTTTTTCACCTGAAAGAGGTGGAAATCTGTCACAAATATCTTAACAGAAGAGGAAGAATGAAGAACAAAAGCAGGAAGATGTGTTTAGATGTTATTAGGGAGAGATGCAATATTAAATGGGGGAAGCCAGAATATCAACATTTATTTCAGATGCCAGAAAATTCAGGGAGAAGTACCTGAATTTGGCATGATGGGTGTATGTTTGAAGAAATCTAGTAATTGGCTCTTTTTTCTTTTCTGTGTTACTACACCCACTCCTCTTGCACATCTCTTGTCTACCTAAAATCTATTTTAAGAGTACCTTACTACTGTAGTATTTAAACCAGTTCTTTTCCCTGTTCTAGTTTTCCTGCTTTGCCTTTGGTACCAGTTTCTAACACCCTCTTCTCGCTTCCATGACATGAGATCTTCTGATGGGAGATAGCAAAGTCCAACTGTCTTGTAGAGCCACTCTCCAATTTCAGCACTATCTTCCAACCATCACTGGTAAGTATATAGTTCTTGGTATATTTCTTCTCTTCACTTTCTTGTGCAATTTCTTCAATCAACTATATAAAAATCCCATTTTCAGGGTTGTTTAATGATCACAAATTGAAAAATCCTGAGATAAGAAGGAATTCTTTTTTAGTGTCTTATATATATCCTGGTGTATATATATATATGTGTGTGTGTGTATATATATATATATATATATATGGGTTCACGGGTATCAAAGTAAAGATACTGCATGTATTTTCCTTGTACCATGGCGGGGGGGTGTGGTGGGGAAAGCTGTTTAATTCTCATTGTTGTTCTGTGTCTTCAGAAATGTCAAATTCCTGGCTGGAAAGAGGAAAGATGTCAGTACAGGTTTTCCTGGTGGGAGGACATAGTGGAACAGCATTCTGTTAGTCACTGATTAGAGTGCCCTAGTTGTGATTTATTCCTTCCGTTTCTTCACTGGCTTATGGAGTGAATATCCCTCCGCAAGCCCTGCAAGTGTCACATATGTTCTTATTACTTTTGCATTCAGGGTTCTGGTTTACAGACATGAAAAGTGCAAGTCTCATAATAACAAGTCTACTCCCTTGTTCAATTTACACAGTTACAGATGCAGATGACCACAGTAGTTTGTTGTTATTTATGCTATTTCCTCAAAAAAAGGGCAGGCACTATACATACAGTTAGTAAATTAAACCTAGCTGCCACTGTGAAGCAAGACACTACAGAAGGGAATGAGATGCACTGTACTCACGCAAATTATTTGAGGTCATGTTGGAGCTGGGTTGAAGAGTCAAGTGCAGCCTACATCCTTCGCCCCATAATAATTTATAGGATGTCATTCTAGCAAATGTTAGGGATAACTTACACTCTTTTTTCTCTCCTGATCTGCTGGCTGCTACCCCCAGTGTTAAAATGTAAGTCAGCATCTGATTATCTTGCCTCTCCCTGCCCTCTCCCCCCTGCTTCATTTATTAAATCATTCCAAAGTCCAGACTGCTTTCTAGGGCTTCAGTAGTTATTAAGAGGCATCTGTAAGTATTTTTTCATCTTGACATTACATGAATGAATGCAAATATTTTGGAAAAGTAGTTCAGTCCCACAAAAAAAAAAGCCACCAAACACTTGCCATCTTTGTTTCAGAGACAAACTACTTCTGGGCTTAGTCAACTTCTGATTACTGCTAACAATATGTCCCTGCTGAGCTCAACAAACATTTCTTTATATGCTGCAAGGTATTTATAGCATACATTCTTTCCCATGCTTATATTTCTTTTTAAAATATTTATAACTTCTATATCAAAAGAAACCATGAGACTCAACAAATACTCAACAGTGAGCAAGGCACTGTTACTCTTACTGAATTACACTCAAATATGAGATGTTAAAAATTAGCATTACTGCCCTGAAAAGGAATTTAAAGAAGAAACCATCTGCATTCATAATAAGCACGTACAACTGGCATCCTTGTTGCACTCTTTCCTACTGTGTGTGAACTGACCTCATTTCTTAAACCCATAAAGCATTATCATGCTGAT